AAATATAATTAGAATAATATTTTAGGAGATAAAATATGATTAAAATCAAAATTATTATTTAAAATAATATTTAGGAGTTAAAAATTAGATAAAAATCGAAAATAATATTTAGGAGACAATAATCTGATAAAAACGAAAATAATATTTAGGAGATAAAAAACTAATAAAAACATGATAAAACTCGAAAAAAATATTTAAATATAATTTAGGAGATATAAATATGATAAAATTCGAAAATAATATTTAGGAGATAAAAATCTGCTAAAAGTTGATAATTATATTTAAAATTATAATTAGGAGATATAACTTTGATAAAATTAAAAAAATATTATTAATAATAATATTTAGGAGATAAAAATTTGATAAAAATAAAAAATAATATTTAGGAGACAAAATAAAAAATAATATTTAAAATAATATTTAGGGGATACAAAAATGATAAAATTCGAAAATAATATTTAAAATAATATTAAGGAGATAAAAAATTGATAAAAATTGAAAAAGAATTACAAATATGACATTAGGGTTTCTTAGGGCTGCCCTAGCGTTTCTTTCTTTTATATATAAGATACGGAAAGTTACAACACATATTTCACTATTTGATATAAACGCATATATACTCGCCTTTCCCTTCTTTTATAATTCGAAAATTGTTCTTTCCACTACATCCATCCCCGTTTTTCCTTTTTTTTTTGTATTAAATGGGAATTAACCATTAAACACTTGATTTACTATATATGTTGCTTACAAAAGAAGAGTAGGTTACAGTTTTTGGATTGTATAAATTTTGCCTGAGATGAATATTTAAGATTTTCCTGATTTATTTAACGACACGGACACATTACGACAAATGACATGCAATTAACTTGTCTCAAAATAACAAACAGCTAAAGAATTGTAACAAAAAATAAATAAATAAAATTTTTAATTAAACGGCTAAATCCTTTTACCAGTAATATGTATTGTGAATTGTGATTCACATTAACATTAATATTGTAATATATATATAGGTAGTAAATGTTAGAGATAATTCTCATTGCATTAATTGTAAAATATTATCTCTTGATTGGATTTAATTTGTGTTTACTTATAATAGGTTATAGGGGAAATGAGGGATAACCCCCTAGTTTTGAAAATATATAGGGAAAGGTCCTAAGGATTTTTCTTTGCTAGTCAAAAACCCAAATTTTAATCTTAATTTGATAGACCTCCCTAGACAAATTGAAATACCAGTTTTACCCTTTTAGTTACAATTTAAAACCCTAAATTTCACCAACTCTCCTTAATTTCTCTCTCCCTTCTCACGGGCGTTTTCTTTTTCTCTCTCCCTCTCCAACGTTTCTCTTCTCTCTCTCTCTCAAAATTCTTGTTCTCTTCTCTCTCACCTCCCACTGTCGCTTCTCCGCTTCCCCGCCTTCTTTGTCGCTCCGCTTCTCCGTCGCTCCGCCTTCTCCGTCACTTCGTCTTCTCCGCTGCTCTGGTGCTATGCCGTGCTCCGTCGTGCTCCGTTGCTCCGTGGTGCTGCCGTGCTCCGTCGTGCTCCGTCGTTGCTGCCGTGCTCCGTCGTTGCTCCTCCCACCGTCTTGAACTCGGTATTAATTCACTTCACTTTTTTTAAGTTATTTTTTTAATTTATGAATGTCAATCCATTTTTAATTTATTTTTCGAAGATCTGAATTCTTATCACTATTTCACCTTATTTAATTATTTTTTTTATGAAACAAACTGAATTCGAAAATTTGAAATTGTGTCAGATCTAATGGTGAATTTTAGATCTGGAATTGGTGGTTTTCGATTCGTA